GCATGATATCCCCCAAAACAGGTTTCCTTGCACGGCTAAGTAATCAGTAACTAGTTTTCTGCAGTCACGCGTCAACCTTTGTTAAAACACCTTCAAGTACCCGGACTTTTCGCCTTTCGGTTCACTCTTTCCTTTCCTAGGTCTGCTAAGTATTCAGTAGCTAGTTTTCTGCAGTCACGCGTCAACTTTTGTTAAAACACCTTCAACTTGCTCGGACCTTTCGCCATTCCGTTGAGCCATTCCTTTCCTTGGGGAACTGAGTTAACTGAATACAATTGTCAGAGTGTGTGAGGCAGTGTGGAAAACCTTTGGATTCATAGGATCTTCTCCGCAATGCACGGTGCAAATCCCACTTTTGTTGTGCAATTCTGCTCGCCCCGACCAGGACGAACCTCTTGAATTTGATGTCCTGCACTCTGAAAGCGGAATCCAGCTACATCTGCCCCTCAAAAACTGGGCCGTGGACTCCTTGCAAGTCCAGGCCCAAAAAACCTCGTAACCTGGTACATCTCAAAGAATGAATACTTCCAAGTGTGAGTGGGTCACCTTTGACCGCACTGGGCCTCCGAATTTGGCTGGTTTTCACTCCGAACGGCCGAGGCCCACATCCTCCTCCAGCTACTTCCAGCGGCCAGGGCGCTCAATCTTCTCAATCAGTCGATGCAACGTCTGTGGGTACCTTAGCACGAGGCAGATCGGCAGAATGTGCCTGATTGTGAACCCCACTCCCAAGCACATACAAAGTTAGGAAACCGTCCACGCCCGGCCCGACGCTCATCCAAGTGGCGCGTAGCGCTCGCTGCAGGGGAACCGTGGATGGTGCACGTAGCGCGAACCTGGGCATAAGGGGCCCATCAGCCGCGGGAGCTGTTCTGGCTCAAGAAGGGGGGGGGGAAATGATTTCGGAGGCAACACATACCAGGACCCTCCAAGGGGTGCCCTATGGAAGCGTATAGGTAGTGTAGGGTAGTCCGTTGGACACCCCGACAGGAGGGTCCACATGACATAGGGCGATCGCATGGAGCTCTTTCACACACATCCGTCTCACACGTCCAGTTCATCGGGGTGGTATGCTTCGTCGACACCAGGCAGGTCATCTTCAAATCCCCCAGAGCGACCGGCGGTCCGTCAGCAGCACCTCCACACTCAGGGATGGGCCTATAGGGATGGGCGAAGGATTCTGACACATCGATCGCAAACAACATCTGCACACTTGTTACTAGTAGCCATGGCCTCCAAACTCGTAGCCATGGCCTCCAACCTACTCCAACCTAATAGCGATGGCCTCCAACCTAGTAGCTCCTTGCTATACTAGCAGATTTTGTTGCAGAGTTCCCGGTTCGATGGTCACTTGTAAGGGTTTTCTCGACCTGTGCTCGTTTTTTGGGAGCCAATGGACTCCCAACCTCACAGGGTGTCCAGATGCGTCCAGCAATGCACTTTTGATACAGAAAGAACCAACCATGATGTAGACTCTTGATTAAAAATACTCCCACATGAAGAGGACTTGTAATCCAAATGGGATGGTCTAATCAAGAGTCCTACATTACATATCCATGATGCATACAAATTGACCAACAACCATGTCTTGAAGACCACAAGGACCGACCCCATCCAACCACTGGCCCAGAAACGCAACCGCTCCAGCTTTCCGCTGGCTTGCCGCGCTGCCTCTAGAAGCACCGCGTTGCCAAAGTCCTGAGCTTGTGGGGAGCGCCCTGTTTGGAGGCGCTTGAGATCTGTGTACCTCTAGTCTTCCCTCACACCCGTCAATACCCTGAATGTTGGCAGTTCCCAAACACCCCCAGTAGGTCAATGTAACGTTCGCAGGTTCATCCTGGACACAAGCATTTGTGCCAGTTACAAAGCTCATCATCAATCCCAAGTCTCAAAATCTGAAGGTGTCTGGAAACATGGGGGTCGCGCTCAGCCTAAATCATTAATCTCTCGACTCAGCACAACATCTCGACTCAGCTGGTTGCAAAACTTGATTGAGAGCCTTAGCAGCCCATGCTTGGCACAGTGCTTGGCACCAGGGGCACGAGCCAAATCAACCCATCAACCTGCCACAGACTTGGAGCCGATCAACCCATCATCCCCGATGGGAGAAGAATCAGGGCCCTTGGAGCCTCCATCACGCGTTTCTTCCACGGTGGCCCGTGCGTCCACCAACGAGATCCCGTTCCACTTTCGCCACAAGCAAAGCCTTACAGCCTTAGATTCCCCCTAGGGCTCCAAGTACCTTCTGTTCTGAGGAGGTACTTGGAGCCCTAGGGCCTGATATAGATGCAAGCAAAACAACACTGTCAGCCAATCCAAGAGCCAGCTAAAACACCACCACTCCCCTCGTTGCCAAACCATCACTTCCGCCTTCACTTCCGCCACTTCCCATCTCAGCCGGTTGAGCGTCCACCAAGCGTACCACACCGGCATCGTCAATGCAGCAGTTGCTCGCAGAGATATCTGCATGCACCACGCCACACAGCCCCAAAAGCTCTACCTAGCAGAAAGCGGTCGAAACGGCAGCATTGGTCAAACACCCGCCTGGATTTTTTCCCCATGGCTCCGTGCTTCCTGCTCCGGCATGAACGGAGATGAACTCTGCAAAAAAGAGAACATCATATTTCAATCAAAAAATATTCGAAAAGTTATAAGTCGTCAATTCCATCTATTTGGGGACCCAAATCCCACTTAGTTCGAGCACCCCCCCGCAAACCAACATGGAACCGGAGAATTCCTAGAAGACCATTTTCCAGTGGTTTTTGGGGTTCCATGTGAATCTGCAGAAAAGTAGCCATCTTCGTAGCCCTTTAGGCTTAAGGGTTCCTTCCCTTCCCCTCCTCTCCCACAGCTCAACCAGCCAAAGCCACTCCCTCCAGCAGCTGCTCCACGATGGCACTACGCTCCACTGGACAGGTCGACCGCGGACGAATGGCACTCCGTTCCTCCTGCCACCGCTGCTCCAAAGGATCGCCTCGATGGCGGCAACGATCCACATCGTGGGGTTGTGTGACTGGTGAGCAAACAATATGAAACACTGCGAGGGTTTCAAAGGTACATAAGGGTACAACACCGGACGACCAGTTTCAAGTGGTAGAACGGACCCTTTTTTTGTCCACCACTGTTGACTTCCAGCATCTCAACTACAAATAGTGACCGCACATTGCACAAGTTCATTCTTGGAGACGTTGTATCGATCCATTGGTTTTTTCTGTGGCATGGGGATGACATGGGATGACTATTCTCTTACCAGCCAAACAATACCTCTGTGAGACTAATGGGCCACTCGACCGTGCAGGGCGCAATGCCGGACCGCCGAAAACACAGACAGGGCCTGCGTGCTCCAGGATCAGCATCAATTCCTGATTCGCCGGCGCCTCCTTAAGGGGACGTTTCTGGCGCCGGCGATCGATTTTGAAGCGTCTCTGGAAGGAAGGGTCGTACCTCGACCCGAGATCGTTGCTCAAAAGAATGTCCTGCAAGTCAGTGGTGAACAGGAACCCTTTGGCACCATGCAGAACCCCAGCTCTCGTGTCAGAACCCTCTCACCATCACCACACGGAAATTCTTTTCGAGATGTTGGCAGGTCCGCCACGCTAAAACACACATGCGGCATCCTTGGCAAGCTACACACAAAACGAAGGTTTTAACCTCACGAATCATTCATGAAATCAGGTATAGATGGGTATAGCATCCTTGTCTATCAAATCTTATGTTTATTTGGTGAATCCTTCTGGTACTTAGATGGTAATTAGGGTCAACCTGGCCTGATCAATCAGCTGTCTACCTTCGTCTTCTCTTCAGCCAATCCACCGGCGCCACCCCAACGAAGCGCGGTTCCGCCGCCAGCAGCGCCGCCACGTGCCGCCGGCCGCGGAATTCCGCGGCGGTGTCCGCGCGCGCTGCCACGTGGCTGAGGCGTTCGCCGATGGCCTCGGCTCGGTCACCACACTCGGTTGCTTTCCGCAAAAGGATCAACAGACCCAGATATCTCTTGGGGCGCCGACACCAAGTTCCAAGATCCAAAAAACCAGCTACTGCGCCCTGCGGATTGGGATTGGGCTGTGGGTCAAGACCAGGAGACGGTTGCTGTGGGTCAAGCTTTGGGCGTGGCAAAAGGCTTGGTTTGCTCTGGGCTGAAACCCGTGCTGAATCAGTGCTGTGAGAGGCCGGATGGGGAGACAGCTTCTCCATGGCCTTCTCCATGGCCTTCTCCATGGCCTTCTGCTTGGGCGGCTTGGGTTTGCGACGGCGTTTCTTTGAGCAACCCCCAAATACGGGAAAACCACAACTCCTGCTCAAGAGGCACCCCAACAAAGGTCCCAAACGTCGTTTAAGAGACTCTAAGGCGCCGAACCCGTTCCTTCTGCCATTGTTCACGATGTTGTCCTGGAGACGAGTCATTGGTCAAGACATGTCAAGTTGACACCATCTCTCTCTCTCTCTGCCCCATGCGTGGTCCTGCTTCTGTCCGCTGCAGAACGTGTCCCCCCGAGCCCGCCCCGAACCCGCTCCTAAGAGCTGTTGCCCGAAGAAGGCGGCCACCGCCGCGTCCACCGGCGGGAAGTGCTTCAGCACCGCTCGCCGCGGCACCGCTCCGGACGCGCACCTGGTGACGGCGCTGAGGGCGAGAGCTCCGAGCCAGTGGCGGAAGGGCCGAGGTTTGGGCGGATGGGCCGTGGCATGTGCAGCGGAGAGCGGCCGTTCTTTTTCGGGGTGGAGTCTTCTCCTGGATGTCTGAGTGAAATAGAGAGAGCACTGATTTTGAGTTCGTCGATCAAGGTGATAGAGAGGATGCTGGCGCTTCAAGTTACTAGGAGGCCAGTGCGTTACTTGGCCAGCGAGTGGACCACTGCAAATCCTCAAGCGGTCTCGCACTTCTGTTTGCCAAGTGCTCGTCCCAACTGGTGCAAGGACGAGCCGGTCACCAGGGGTCGCCATTCTTCGCAGGATGTGCAGCACAAAACCTCGCCACACGTGGCACATAGCCAGAACAAAACGGTTCCAAAACCGATCCGGCTCTACCCCTCCAGCCACTCCAACTCTCAGAATCATTGCACTGGTCGTGCTGAAAATTTAGCAGCTGAGCGCCCACCCACCGGCCCCCCGCGGCGCCCGCGGCCTCAACCGCAGCTCCCAAACGCTGGCATAGCTGCCACTGCCCAAATGCCGCTCTGGCGGTCACCAAACGGGTCGGTCGGTGCGAAGTCATTCGAAGTCCCACATCCAAAGGGTCAGGAGCATGGGGAAGTACTGTGTCCAAACTGAAAGTATCTAAACAGTGTCTTCCTTACCTGAAGCTTCCTTCGCTTTGTTTGCCTTTTCTCTTCCTTCTTTTTCTCCTTCGCTTTGTGAAGCAAAAGAATCAAAAGAAGTTCCCTGTCGAGTCCCCGAACAACAATTCTGTTCATAACCCAAACACTCCATGGGACTGCCAAATATGCCGCCCCATTGACCCCCCCTGGCACCACCCCTGGCCGTTTCTCGGCAGTCCTATGGCAGTCCCATGGAGTAATCAGGGACAACTCCGACCATCACCGTTGACTCGGATCCATTCGCCACCTCCGCAGCTGGATGCGCGCGCGCCTGGCTTGGCCAAGACCTCGTGTTGTCTCACATGGAATTGGAGCTCGCAGCCCTGTTCCAATAGCCGAGCTGCATGGCACGCCTGGCCGCTGGGTTGGCTGCAGGTTGAAAGAAAGAAAGAATCTCCCTGAAAATCCGGAACAAGACCATTCTGCCAGGAGTCACAAAGGGGTGGTGTCTGGTCCCTAAGTGAGTGGATAATGGGCACCCCTTACCTCCATTAAGCACCCCTGTGTGACTGCTGGTGGTCTGGGATGGTCTGGGTGTGTTTTTTGGACATCAACGAGCCCCCGTCGAAGATGTAAGACCATTCCGGTTTCGCTCTTTTCTGAAGACAACCTGAGATGTTCCTTCCCTTTTGCTTTGGCCAACCATGACGGACAAACACCAAGCAAATGTCACCAAAAAGGAAACATTTAGAGAGGAAGATTCACATGGTAAAGATTCACATTTCCCCTGTGGGCTGTGGAAGCTCCGTGCCAAGAAAACAGGTCGAAAGTCTGATTTGCCACCACTTCGCCGACCGCACCCCTTTTGGGGCTCGCTGCGTTCGCTGCGTTCCACACAAGTCGGTCGGTTGACTCTCAGTCCATCTCAGCGCGGAGGTACCGGCCAATGTTTGCGATGGCATCCTGTCCGGATTTCGTAGTTCCAGGGGTGGGGGGGGGTGCCGAATCTGACCTCCACAACAAGTTGGGCCCCAAATGTGCCAGATCATCTTATTAGATCTGTTTTGTGTGGCATGTCGGAAGAGGCCCTAGTAGACCCCTACATCTTCGATGCTTGGAACCGGTAGGCAAACAAAGAAAAAAGCACGACGTAAGGTATGAATTACCAGGGGTGTCTAATTATAGCATATATTATAGCCCCTTAGAGGTTGAGGGGGGGCCCTGGTACTAGTTACTGGTGCTTCATGATATCATATTCCCGATGGGATCAAGTATCAACGCCAATGGCCACTCTGAGAAAGGGCGAGGAACACGTCTGGGCCGTGTCAGACATGTACTTCCAACAATTACAATGCCCAGTGACCAAGAACATGAACGGTAAACTCTCACATATTTTCAAAGCTGCATACCTGATCCTTGATACTTCCTGATACATATGTCCGCGTCCTTTTTGAACAAAGCCACGCCGACCCAGTCGATGGTAGTTCGGAGATCGACTACCATTGATGTCCCCGTTTCGCACGATGCGGTCGCGCAACGCAGGGTGTCGCAAGCAGCAAGCAGGTGGCAGGTGGCAGGTGTCCTGCTCGAGGTCCTTCTTCTCATGTCCCTCTTCTTGGTCTTCATCCTCCACATCCTCCTGGGACTCCTGTGTGCTTCCATCCACGGAGATCCTCAGCGCGCATGCGGGTCGAACGCTGCCCGTCTCCGCGGGTGCGACGAGACCCAGGAGAAGCGAGACCCAAAAGGAGAGAACTGGTCGAAGGATCTGGGTTTTAATGGGCTGGAATTGGAGTGGTATAGAGGTGCCAGACACCACAACACCCCAAGTAGCAACTAGCACTTTCACTTTCCCATCAAACAACCACTATAGTTATTCCCTATGCGTCCAAGACTAATTGTTTTAAGTTCGACTTAGATTTGCAGCCTCGACTTAAAAGTGTACTGTTTAGACATACCGCAGCATGATCCCCTTTGGATGGTAGCACGGGGTCTGACAGCCAGGAATCAACAGTGCATGGAACATAATTACAGTTAAATAAGTTCAACACATTAATTATTTATTGTCAGAAGTTTTTTAATTGATACTGATCGCATGTTAGTATCCGTGACGCGTGCGGATCTTCTTGCCCATTCGGACCAATTGAACAGTGGACTGACCATGGGCAAACCGTGGAACGACCTGAAAAAGGCATGGAACGACTTAAACAAGTCATGGAAAGACTTAAAAAGGTCGTGGACACCACCACCCCTGAGAATCCACTTGAAACATGTTTTACACAGCACTGGCACTGTCCATGAAAAAAGTCCACACAAAGGATGAACAGATTGGCTTCGTGCCCGGTGAAAGGATTGGAAAACGGCTTGACGATTTGCGACTGTGTACATGCACATGCGAAAACATGGGTTGAAGCCTTATTTGATGCTGCTCAGATCACTTCAACATGACATATGTAGGATTATGTAGGTTCCAGGAAAGGTCAAATACAGCGGCTCTTTTAAGTCTTTCATTCCCAGTTTAAGTCTTTGCTCGAAGACTTAGATTTTCCAAGACATTGGAAGTTTAGAGTATTTCATCATCACATCATCCGTACTTGGTCACCTCCAAACACTTCAGAATCACCGCCCGGTTCCCCACATTTGGTCCGCCCCAGCTGCTGCATCGCGATCAGGTCCCTCACGCGATGCCGCAGCTGCCGCCGCAGCGGCACCTCCTCCTGCAGCGGGTCGCTGGCGCCGTGCAGCGTCACGACCGCCACGGTGGGGTCGCTCAGCAGGACCTCCCACTGGGCCAGATCCGAGCTCAAGCGCCTGGATCGACCGGGAGCGGCGGAGCGGTGCGGAGGTCCGGAGAGGCTCGCCAGGGCCCTGGGCCCTGGTGAACTCAAAAGGACCACGTCATCCGTGCTCCACTCCTTCATTTCTGATAATAAACTAATTTAAGGTTCACGCACGGGAAGTGGCGAACTGTCCATCTCTTCTTGAGTGGCGAAACCCATCCCCAAACAAGAGAGACTTAAAGGCTATCCAGCTATCCACTGACTCAAAAGATCCCTTCAGAAACCAGACATCAAGGTCTTTTGCTCCGCGATGTTGGATGAGGATGAGGATGAGGATGAGGATGAGGATGATGATGATGATGATGATGAGGAGGAGGAGGAGGAGGAGGATGCTGAAACAGGGGCACAAATTGCAACAATAAATGTGTTGCGTAGGTCTATTTATACGTACACATTGTGTACATATATGCAGAGAGAGATTATATATTAATATAGTTATAGGTTATATATATTATATATATATAGAAACCCGGTGGTGGTCGGTGGTAAAGACATATAAAAACCACCATTGATTGATTTATATAATATATATAGCTTTTAAATGCTTTTAAACCGAACAACAAGTGTTTTGCTAAGGACTTTACGCCACAAAACCAGATCAACAACAATACATGCTTCATCACCTCTCGCCCAAATACAAATACCGTGGGTGCTGCGTATACGGTCTACGCCACTGTGTTCTTCCTGGCTGTTGGTGACTGCCCTGAAGGCCACAACAGGACCCGCCGTCTCCGGCCTCTCTTCGAAGAGCTTGCCATGGTGACGCATGCCGGAGTGCGGATGAGACATGAGATACCACCACCAAACACCCTGGAGAGACTCCTCACAGCGCCCCATTTGGGCCGGATAGAAGTGGAAAAAAAGGCGCCGATCATCGCTTCGTCCGAGGGAGGGAGGGCTTGATTTGAGGACGAACACGGTGGTTTTGGAAGTCCAGTACTCAATGAGGTCAAGGACTAGGCTTGGCCCTTGGACTTGTAGGGATGTGCTATCTGAACATGTGGAACATGCTTCTCTTGGCCCGTTGACCCCTCAAATCTACAACCATCCAAGATCATCCAAGAATTCTGACATGTTCCAATGGTTTCGGCACGAAGGATTCAACTCTGATGCTCATTTCCCATTGTTCCCCCAAATATGGTCCAAATGCGGACCAGTGGTGGACAAGATTCTTGTATTGGAGGTTCCATGTTGGAGTCGTAGGTTCCAAATCCAGTATACCCAGAACACTGGGATTCTCAAAGCCAACCGAAGATTCTTCCAGCACAGCCGGGCAAATGCTCCACAGAGGGCTGAACAAAAGGGGTTCACAGAAACAACATGAAACAACCAACCCCCCCACTAAGGTGCTGCATGGTGCTGCCATCCAGTCGTTCACCCAGCACCAAGCAGCACCAAACATGGCATCCTGCATATCATGCGCGGCTCCTCTTGACTATCTTCCTGCTCGCTGGCTGGAGTGCCGAAGGAGTTCAACAAGCTGGAATACTTCCCCCAACCTCAGCTAGCACACTGGCACAAAAATGTGCCAATCTACTGCGCATCCCACCGTTCACTTGTTGCAAGCATGGTCAAAGCATGTCAAAAAGCCATCTACCCTTGTGATGTGAATAAAAACTGATGAATTCCATCTTAGCTCCACAGCCCAACAGCCCAACTACACAACCCAATTCCATCTTCCATCTTAGCTCATCCCACAGCCCAACTACACATCAGCCTCATCACCCAGACACGACCTGTCTGGGACTGCCAGTCCGGACGGCCTTCAAAACGGCCAGGGATGGTTAACTGGGGGCCAATTGATCCGGTAGTCCTATGGCAGTCCCAGCCGGGTCATATGACTCATCATCCATTCACCGTGATACACCGAGCAAATCCTCAATCATCCAGGATCGCGGCCGCATGGCCCATGCACGTGGTCCCCGCAGCTATCGCTCGCGATAACTTCCGATCCCTTTGCTGCAACCATCTGCAGCCCACCACCCAGCTGTCAAAAAAAAACTGCGCCCTCCACCCCAACGAAGTCACGTCGTCCTCCATCGAATCCAAACCCTCCAAGCGGCGATGAGAGCGCACGAAGCTCATCCATCCCGGGTAGCGTTCCTCGAGCCGCGCGCAGAGCCGCGTCGTCAGCGGCACCCACACGCGCCGCTCGCGGCTGACGCTCGAGCGCGGCAAGGAAGTGCCGCCCAGCGCAGCGGAGAGGCGCTGGGCGATGGACCTGGCAAGGAACTCGGTCTACCCAGTCGAGGGGCACGCCCGGGTGGACTGAGTCCCCGAAGCTGGACCGAGACCGGGTTTTGTAGAGGAAAGATTCGTCTTCCAAAGGTCCATGTTCTGGTTCGCCATGTGAGTTTGGAGTGTAGAGAGGACGACCAACGAAAAACAAAATAAACATTGGTGACACAATGTGACAGCGTTTTCTGCACGAGAGCCGGCAACACTTCACCCGGGAATTCGCAGCAGCAACACTTCAGTCGCGGCTTCGGTGGCGATTGGATTTCGCGTGATTTACGGTGGCCATCTGAGCTTGATCCATCTGAGCCACAGCCAAGACCTGGTACAAAAATCCCTTATCCTGCATGGATGTGCCCACAATTGCCCAGATGTCACCCATCCATAGCTGGGGGTGGTCTGGTGCCACTGGTGCCATGCTGGGGAGTTTTCCTAAGCCACCCCCCCCAAAAAAAAAAAACAACCTTGCACTCCCAGCGTCTGATTCTTGTAGACCTCTTGCGCTTGCACTGCTGGGTAGCGTGGCTTCATTTGATAGAAGAAGTTCTTCACCGACAAAGGCTTCAGAGCTATGTCGCCTCATGTGGAGGCAAAAAACAACATTGCTAATCCTTCCAAATGAGTTTGGGCTACAACGGTATCTTCTCTGGTTGGGCGAAAATGTTTGAGCGGACTGACAAGTTCAATTAAAGCGGTTGATCGATCGATCAATCAATCAATCAATCAATCAAACAATCAATCAATCAAGCAAATCATTCTATATTTATCTATCTTTCTTTCTATGTCTGTGTCTATGCCTATGTCTATGTCTATCTACCTACAGGATCCACAGTATCTACAGTACCTGGTGCCTATACAGATTATAGTACAGATTATATATATAATATTACAGTATATATCTGGCTTTCCCCCTCACGAATCAACAGCTCTCTGGTTTCTCTGTCCCGGCGTTTGCTTTGCCATGCCTGGATTGACCAAAATAAATCGCGGAGCCAAACCAGGGATGTGGTGAAGGACCGTCTGCACAGCATAGAGGCTCCTGCTTCATGAGACGCTCAAACGCCGGCCACGAACAAACATCTTCACACAACTTCACAAATCCGCTGCACGCAACGGCGAGCAATTGCACGTTCTGCTCCAAAAGTTGTCCAGCCCATACGCTTCCCACTCCTACTTGTGATGTGTAGATCTACAGCGATACGCATGAAAACATATCATCTTAAAGAGCTTCAGGAATTCATTCCCTTGCCCAAGACCTCATCCGACCTTGCTTCTCCAAGACCTTCCTTGACCTAGCTGCCTCACCCCCGTGTGGCCTCGTTGGGCACACAGGCCCCTCACTGCTGGTGACCATCTCCATCTGCTTCTGCTTCCGCATTTTCTGGCGGCCTTCGCGGGAGGGGCGTGAATGCCTCAGCAAGGAGCTCTGGCGGCCCACACTGACTTCCAGTGATTTTGGAGGTTTAAGGTGAAGTGCTTTTGTGAGACCAAACAAGTAGGCCCGGCCGGGCCCTTGCCCCTTTCTCAGACACCTCTGGAAAAAAGAGAGAATGAACAAATCCCATGAGGGAACACCAGCTGACAAATCCCAGTTGCTCAAGGAGGCTTTGGAACGAGCCCTGATGGTACAAGCCGAGCTCCGGGAACGTCTCATCCAGCTGCTGCAGAATCGCCGTCTCCTGGCGATGGCGAGCATGCGATGAGGCACGTTCCCCCTGCTTCAGAAGAGTGGGACTTCAGATCCTGAGCGAGTTGGAGACCCAACACATAAGTAATATATGCTAATATATAATAGTGATCCCCAAATAGATAGTGGCACTGTGTCCAATACATTTTTGGAGGGATCCATCTACTTTTCCATCTTGGGAGACAACTATACTATACACAATCTGCGTCCCATGACGTAGGAGGCCAGGCGTGCCTGCCTTTGGGGAACAATCAAAACCAAAACCCATCACTTATTCAAATCTAACTCAAATCAAATGCATTCTGGTCAAAACTGAAAAAGCCGTGACCCTTGGGTTCGTCACCTTTTCCCGGATCTTCTCTGAGAGCCACTGGCTTAGCCAAAGGCTCCCACTCCCAAGGCTCCCGGGTTTTGGGGTCCCACTCCGCCGGAGATCCCGGTTGGATATACAAAGGGTTACCGTAGAAAGAAAAATGCCCCGAGGCGGCCCGAGAGGTCTCCTTTTTGAAGCTGGACCTGCCCTTCTTCTCGCTGGAGGGGTGCGCAAACAGCGAACATCGGTCCACCCAGTAGGTCCTGAGGCGGAGACAAGGACGGCGAAGGAGGGCGAAAGGAAGTCGGGCGAGGCCCGTGGCCCTGTGCGAACAAGTCCATGGATGGCAATGATCCAAAATTGAAGAGGAAGAAGTAGGTGGAAGATTTGATAAGATATGATGTGATATGGTTAGGATTCATTCATGAACCACCTGGCTGAATCAAGCGAAGGCTTGAAGGGGCCCATGGCGGCCCGATGAAGCGTTCATCTACACAGGTCGAGTCGAGCTTAACATAGCTTAACTTTATAGATTATACTTTCAGGGTTTGCGGATGTGGTTTGTCTATGATGTGGCCTGTATGCTTATCTAATATGTGCATGTTGCGAACAAGGCACTTGGACGCTTCAGGGATGAGGTTTCGCTTCAGCTTCCTCTTCCAAACGCTCTCGCACGCTGGGTTCTGGAGCACGTAGATGTGGCGTGCCCATGGGGCATTCCTCTGGATGGACTGCAAGGTGAAGATCAAGCCTGGGTCATTGTCCACCTCTGCCCATTTGGCCTCTGTCATGTGCTCCTCAAAGGCGATGGCCGGCTGACGCCGAGATCACATGTCATGCATGTTTGAACGACTCAGGGTTCCCAAATGGCCATGCAAATTGCATATGCATCCTTTTTCTGCTTTACTTTTGGCCACATCTGGATTCTTGGCACCTCAATGATTTGCCATGTTGATTTGCCGTGTTGAAACTGAAACGCCCTCTGATGTGCTGGGAGGTGACTTCACCTCCCCAAAAAGCGTGGAAGGCGTGAGAAACGAAACGTCCCCAAACGTGGCCAAGAATCACCCAGCAAGTAGTTGTCTTCTCGGCATCCCGCGGGGATCACGATGTCCTTAGGATTGACTGGAGCTTGACACCCGGAATGCACATGCGGTCTTAGTCCTCTGATGCTGACTACTGTGGCCAGCTACAGCTTTCGCCGCGATATAAGGCTGTACCAAATGGCGGCTGAAGGGATCCCCGCCCCCCCCCAAAAAAATATGGAAACGGAAGAAACGCGGTCACTTCAATCATCTTCAAACCATGCCAGGCATCCACACTGCGGGACGACTCCGCTGGAAGCAGTGTGTAGCTGAGCCCGATCGCCAAGTGCAGGCGAAGCATGCGCAGTTCCATGACCACGAAACGAGGAAAACAAGGAACTGAACTGGCGCCACCCACCCGCACTTCGAGAAAACCAAAACAAACAGAGTGACCAGGAACAAAACATATTTTGTCGGATGAAATATATTGAAGCCCAGGGATGGTGAACACGTGGGTTGTGAAGATGTTCTTGCAAACAAAAAACCTACGGCCGGACCTCACGCAGGCCGGTAGGGTGGCGCCTTGCTCAAGGAAAGCCTGAAGTTTGAGCTGAGACAGCTCCTGCAAGGTGATCGGGCTCACCTGCTGCCACACCTTTAGGCCTTCTGGCGCGTGGAAGGAACAGGATGGGAACCGGCAACAAGGGGCTCTTGGAAGCGCCAACTATCGCCCCAACAAAACCGCAGAGTTTTCAGTGGGCAGACTGGACTCACGACAAACACATCCGGAGTCCACAATTCAACCGGGGGTGTCTCGAACAACCTCCTAAGAACTTCATTCATGTGATGTGGAGAAGGGAAAGCGGATGAACATGAGGCCCGGTAGTGTGAAGCCAGGACCTGTGCGACGTTACGTCTTTGATCTACCTGTGCTGACACGGGGCTTGCTGTTTCTGAGATCTCTCATGTCAAAAGGACACTTTGCCTCAAAAATTGGTCCTTGCAGCTCAGCTGGGACACACTGCCAGTCTTCTCACAAAGTCGAAGACCTCCAGTCCACCACTCGGGACCCCAACATGTGTGTAGCTCTCTGGATTACGCGAGCTATCTCATATCCCAGACACGACAAATGGGACTGCCATAGGACTGCCGCCCCATTGACCCCCTGGCACCACCCCAATGTAGACAATTGTAGACATATATGGCAGTCCCATGGAGTGTCTGGTTACGGATTCATATGGTGTCCTCGACCTGCCACACGTTCCACCGCCGCACCCGCCTGGCGGAGTCCGGCCAGCTGCATGCCGCCTGCCGCATGCGGGACAGGCCGGTCGCCGACTGGACCCTCAGTGAGTCATAGGGTAGACCCGGTAGACTGCCATAAAACCCCCAGAAAGATGGATCACAAATGATTGCGGGACCTCTTCATATTATATATATAGGGCGTTGTATTAAATCTAGATGACATTACCAGGCAGTGCTGGAAACCAGCTATGCACTTGGCCAGAAAGCCAAGGGACCGAATCTGGGATCAGGTTTGGGAGCAGGGTGACGGTTGTGCAGCTCAGCCCCTCTATGACCTGTGACAAATTGAAACTCCTCAAATCCATTGGAAATCCGGGACAAATCAGGTGGAGACTACAAAGATGTTCCCAATTTCTGCCCATGGCTGCCGGAATTCTTCCTGCAAGACTCCCGTTGCTCAACAGTGACCAACCCAATTGTCTACACGGGAAAGGGTCAAAAAGACCCCCAAATAAATAGATAGAAAAGTAAACCCACGCAGAAAATGTGTTGGAAACCGTGCCCCTATCTCTTTGGGAACCCGTCCTATCTATGATTCCTCAGGCCCCCTTCGCCCCCTCTCGCAGCACGGGCTTCGCCTGATGGAGGTCGGGTTCGTCTTCGAGACAGCCATGAGTTGGCAACGAGATGAGAAGATTAAGAACCGAGTCTTTCTTGGGCAAAACATTGGCCATGCTGTCTGATGTCCTGATGCATCCTCATCCTGCCGTTGATATTCATTGATAGCTGTATGATGTGTATGAATCTCAATGTGGATCTGTAAGAGTAGTATGTCCGGTCTAAAGCGGTTGCCCAACGAGTCACATCTGTTTCACATCTTCGATCGTAAAAAGGAAAGCGCCAGACTGGTGGGCTCCACCTAGACCTGGGTCCCTGTCAGGCTTAGCCTGGTCACTGCTAAGACTGCAAGACCTGGTGGCAATGATGCAAACTGTTCCCAGATCCTACAGAGACCAATGATGGCAATATAGGTCAAACAGTAAAACATGTTGATTTTAAAAAAATAACGTGTTAAGAGCACTAAACAACGTTTTTAAATTAACGTGATTTAAAATATGTGTTTATAAAGCTGTAAAACCATGAAAGCGCACTAGTTCGCTTCGCTGGCGTCACGCATCCAAGATTGAATGCCAATGGACAAGTGCGCACACCGCACTTGGGGGACCGGGCCGTGTGCGTCACCGTCACCGAGCCGTCGTCTTCCGTTGGAGGGTTCTTTATCCGGAAACCACTGTGTTCCATGACCATTCATGACCAGTACGGATTTTAACCCACCCAAACCCACCGAAACCCACCGGTCTGACCGGCTCCGCGGTCCGGGCTCCGGGCCGTCGGGGTCCTTGGGCCGCTCCGCCTCTTCGACCCGCTCCTCGCCACGGGAAGGACATCGGATGGATCGATCGGAGTCCGAGGAGGTGGCGGTTCGCACGAAGGAAGAGCCCAGACACGACCCATGGGACTGCCATAGATGCCGCCCCATTGGCCCCCTCAAACCACCCCAATGTAGGCATATATGGCAGTCCCATGGAGAGTCCGCAAACTTCTTTGCAACCCCCTTGGCAGTTGGCGGGGAAAGGGCTGCATGCAACGATCAAGTTGGAGTGAGCTTGAGAGAGTGATGCTTTCCGATGGGCGCACAACGCACGCCATGTGAATCTGACGCTCGTTGACGCACATCAGGTGCTGCATACAAAGTGATCTTTGGCATCCGAGAGTGGGATGTGAGTTTCTTGTGAAGTTGGATCAACTCTACAAGCTGCCCTTGTTCTAAGCCTAAGAGTGCAGCATGATGGGATCACCCATCTTCCAAGCCACTAAGTCACTAAGTGCGCTCTGTCCACCTTTTGGAAGTGGAGTAGCTCGTAATTCTGCTGCAGCGCTCAGGCAGTGGCCATCCAACTTACTGTGCTAGAAAGTCACCGCAACCCAACACAAGTGCGAGAGAAAAAGCCTTGCACCGCAACCACAAACAGAAAGAACAAAAAAAAACATGAAACCATTCCTCCCCCTACACCTCCAAGTAACTACCTCCTCAGAAGGTGTTTAGACCCTCCTGGCACCCGGGCCCCCAGTCCCACCGAAGCTTCGGTACGACTGGAAGCCTATAGGACTGGTCCGCCCAAGTGCGCCTCCAAAGCTTGCATCCGCCCTTCCCAGATCGACAACACCTTCGGCTTCCTTCCGGCCGTGGGTTCCAGCCGTGCCACGGTTCCCGCCACTCGGCGGTCCTCCATGCCCCTGGGCCACTCGGCGGTCAGCAGCACGTCGATCGGCGCCTCCTCCGCCTGCGCCTCGCGTTCCGCGTTCCGACGCCACAAATGGAAGGAAGACGGCCATATAATGCACGTGATGGCATACACCATATATACGTATATGTGCCATATATGCACTCCTCTGCCATATGGTTTGAGGGGTCACAACATCGCAGACGCGACCCATGGGACTGCCATAGGACTGCCGCCCGATTGACCCCTCAAACCACTCCAACTGATCGGCATATGGCAGTCCCATGGGTCGTGTCTGGGTATCGCAAGATGCCTTAGCTTCGGCTTCTGCTTGGGATGTCCAGGCCCGGTGGTCGCCGTCTTTTTATTGCACGGCAAAGGCTTCGACGAAGCCGATGAACTTCTTCGTCCAAGGTTCTTTCCTTGGGGTTTCGAAGCGCCCTCCCAATGAAAACATTTGCCAAATTTGGCTCTTCAGCTGCGTTTTCTTCAATGAAGCCAGGTTGTAAACGTGCTGAACTGGAATCCGGTGTGAACCGGCCCGGCACATATGTAAGAATCTGAACGACCACCGTGGAACAACCCCTGGTCGTCAGCATGTCATGGTTAAAGAAAGCTTGGCTGCACAGCCGCAGCCTCCGATATTTTAATACACAAAGGGCATGGTGCCGACGAGGTGCCTGTTATGTTCGCGGTCTAAGTCCAAACACTACTCATCACTAGGTGAAGAAAAACATATAGGACTCATGTGACTCAATCATCATACCCAGTCCCCGCGGCAGACATGGCTTGGATGATCCCCCCGGGCCCCGCATGAGTAGTCACACCCGCGTGCGACAGGGCACCAGCTTGATGAGTCTCTTCACAGCTGTGGCCGTGTAGGCCTTAAGAGGGTGGCCGGACCCTGCAGTCCATTGGGACTGCATCCATCCTAGAATCCTATAGGTTCTTGTATGGTCCCCCCACCCCAAATGCCCGTCGCCACTCAGAATTTCCAACGTTAGGATTAGGACATGGATAGTGAGGTTGGGAGCCGGGATCCGCCATCAAAAGAGTGATTAGTTGAGATAAAAAGGAGTTTCTATGAGTCTGGGGCAAAGTGCCAAACTCAAAAGCAAACAAGCTTAGGATCCCTGACAGCAGGGAACCGCCAAACCAAGCATGGAAAATCGTGGCAACAAATATGAATGCCGTAGAAGTATGCCTGTCTGGAGTCATAGAAGGACAACCATATGGCATATAGCGGCAGAAGCCCTGTCGTTTGTCCTCTCCAGCTCGGCCAAGTTGAGGCATCTCCAAAAATCCGGAGAGTTCTGTCGTCTATAAATAGTTGTAAAGTTCACGCTGTGCACTTGAGTCTCGGCAGTTCGAACTGTTTTCGACCTTCACTTACCGATGTTCCCTCTCAAGACTGGGAGGGCAGTTGCCTTGGAAAAGGGCGCGGCCGCGGCGCTTCAGTGCGCCATCGTGTTTTTCTTGCTCGCGGACTTCGGGTGCCGCTGCTACCATTTTCGCATTGGTAGCGGAGCCTCCTCCGGGGGGCTCCGAGTCCTTTGCGCGAAGAAGAACGAGGTTCTGCATAAGGCCTTTGTCACGAACCCTTGGCCGAGCTCTTTTGTTTCCTCGTGGAAGAGCGCTATCGGTCTTGGCTACTTGTTAGAGCATGCCACCAACGACATCGGCTGCAGAAGGCTCTAAGGATGGTGACTACCTCAACCTGCGCGACTCCTTCGTTCCACTTTTCAGTGGCCAACCCCAGGACTACAAAGAGTATAGAAAGAGGCTGATGCTCTACCACCACAAGATGAAGATCAGCAAGCGCACAGCCGAATCTGTCCTGAACATCCTGGGGAGCTTCCAGGGTGTGGTTTGGCGGTTGTTTGAGGACTTCTCAGTCGAAGAAGCTGAGAAGGAGGATGGCTTTGGCAAGATCATCTCCAAGCTCGATAAGAACTTCGAGTATGATGATCGAGTGCTCCTTCCAAATGACTTTGAGGAGTACTTCAACTTGCTGCAACGAAAGCCTCAACAAAGCCTCCTGTCCTTCGTCACGGACCACGACACCGCCTACCGTCGTTTGACCGCTCACAATGTGACCCTTCCTGGTCAGGTTCAAGGATGGCACCTACTCCGACGTGCTGCTTTGACAAAGGAGCAACGCCAAATGGTGACACTGAAGGCTCCCACGTTGGAAAAGACTCCAGTCATCGAAGCCCTGTACTTGTTGTTCGGCCAGGACTACAAAGCTGGCGGCTGGAACGCCGAACGTGATCGCAAGTTCAACCGTTGGAAGGGTCGCGGCTATGCTGCCTTCGATGACGAAGATGCCTACTGGACCGAGCAATCCTGGCCTGAAGAGGCCTACTATGAGGCCGACGACTGGTATGATGACATCGCCCCTGACGATGAGGCTGACTTTGACTATGACGCCATCTACTACGGCGAAGAGAATGAACCGGGAGATCATGATTCGCCCGAAGATCCTCAAGAGCTGGCAGAAGAATATGACCATGCCTATGCCACTTACTTGGATGCCCGGCAAAGATTCCAACAACTCAAGTTGGCCCGTGGCTACCTGCCGATTGTCGCCCTCACTGATGGCCAGAACACCTCAGCTGCCTCTGGTTCCTCTTCACCCTCGAACGGAGCTGGCAAGAACAAAGGAAAGGGCAAGAACAAGAGTAAAGGAAAAGGAAAGAATGTGGTGCGCTACCCATCTTCCTCCGGTGGCAAGTCAGATCCAAAAGGTCGTGCAAAGGCAACTACATGTCTTCGGTGTGGCCAACCAGGTCATTGGGCAGCTCAATGTCCACAAAGTGCGAAGCCTCCAGTCTCGCCTAACAAGAGACCCGCACCTACGGAAGGCATGGCCTTGCAGAATGAGACCGCCTTGGTCCTGTTCCAGGATGAGATGGGCACAGACCGACCGGACGCCACCATGTTGGACCCAGGTGCATCGGCTTTCCTGTGCGGCTATGGTCCCTTTGGCCGCTACTTGAGTCAGCTCCACTCCATGAACTACCCGATCAACACCATCCGCTTTGCTCGATGCGATCGCCAGTTCCATTTTGGCGGCGATGCCTCCTCAAGAGCATCATGGACCGTGGACCTTCCTGTGATGATCGACGGCCAGTTCGGCACGATCCAATGCTATCTGGTCCCTGGCAATACGCCAATGCTGATGGGCCGGCCTGTGATTGAGGCCTTGCATATGGGCATCGACTTCAGCCAGAAGCGCATTCGCTTTGGTCGCTCTCCCTGGACCTCAGTGCTTGTCGGAAGCCATGGCGAATACTTGTTGAGCCTCACCACTGGCATGGAAGAAGCACCTGACCCCACAAAAGCTCTGTTCAGCCTTCGCATTGCTGAAGAAACTCCGGGCAGCCATCTCCACTTTGAGGACTTCAACAAGCTCGAACAGGTGTTCCA